GGAATGAGACTTATTTAGTAGATCAAATTTAAGATTTCTTGCCTTATTGACTTACAGTATGTACTTAGGCAAAATTAATCTCTTTCAAAATGCACTTAATTATAATCAAATACTCATATCAATGTCTGTCACCACATCAGCACATCTGGCAGCAATGAAGACAAATTAACAATAAGAGTCAGAAAATCTGGCAATATGATCAACTAAAGCACACAAAATCCATTCTCTACACTTGGACCACCAGCAACTAAGGATGGATTAACTTCCCGTCTCTAATACTGGCGCCTAAATTAAAGGGAAATTGCATCGCAATCTGGGTACCAGGTTTCTGGTGACAAACAACAAAAAGCCCTGAGCTCAGCTACACCAGGCAGCGAAACCTTTGCTCTAGCTTTAGCCATGATGTCTGTGATGGCCTACTCTAACAGCTGCTTTTAATTTAGTTTAAAAGAAGTGATTTGGCAACCATGTAAGTTTGCACCTTCAAAGCAGACAGACGTAAAAAGCTGATGTCCTGTAATATTAACCATTTTGGAGTCTCGCTGTTTTACTGCAGTGATGACAACAGGATTCACAGCTTTTTACAATAATAGGCATCTGTACATAGAAAAACAAAACAGTGTTTTCACTTAGTTTTAATTACCATTTTATAATAAGCAACCCTCTATCTCTGACTTTGTATGGTTAAAGGCATCGAGTTCATTATTGCAATTTTAATCCAGCAAGAATTCACAATTGCTCAAGTTTACTGAGCAACTGAATAAAGCACAGGTCTCATTCATCTATAACCAGAAAAAGGCAGCTGAGTAAGGAACAGAAGCATGAGTTAAACCAAAGAAAACATTATCTTGCACTTGGATCATCTTCTCATGTTGGGCGTGGAAGTGGCTGCAGAAACAGAAACGAGGGAGAAAGGGTATGGGAAAGCAAAGACTCAGGCATGCACTTTGTACTTGGCAAACGCGTGACACTAAGCCACTTAGAAAAGAGTGATGCTGCCAGGCAAAGATCCAGTGCCTTTTTTCTTCTTTTACTTAATAGCTTGATATGGATTTGTGAATCTACGGTGCACACCCTCCACCAGATGTGTGCACACTATTTGCACACAGGGACGGGCAGACTGTTGGTACTACAGCCTTATGTGCACGAGAACTGAGAACACGTGCACACATCTGATAGTGGGAATTCACGGAGCAGAAAATCTGCATACTCATTTTGTCACAAATAGCTTCAACCCACTTTACCAGCCACCAGTAGCTGTGGCAGGACCACACCCGCTCTTAGAAGCTGAACATAATTAAATACAGTAAATCCAGAGATGCAACTTCTAGTCAAACAAAGGTGCAGACATGCAACTGAAGGCACCTACATATGCAACATTTCTCTATCTACAGACATAATTCACACTTTTCATTCTTCACACACTAATGCAGGTCAGAGACCACATGGCAGCATATTTTATTAAAAGTAATGTGCAAATAAGATGCATGATACCTGCAAATAGCATGGAGTTTCCATTTGTAAAAAGGTACAAGTAACAGTACAAAATTAGAATGATTGTTACTCATTTCAATAAAATGAAGTCTGACATAGAAATACATATGATGTATTATTTACACCATTAATTTACAAAAGATATTATTTGCATAAAACAAAGCTATAAAATAATTAGAAATATAGTACTTTCATAAGGAATGTTTTCCCTGTATAAAAACATAGAGCATTTTGGCAATTATGTTTTATTTGAATAAAAATGCATTTATTTGTCTGAATTCATAGCATCATGTAGTTTCTTTCTTCCCTTCTTCCTCTCCTTACTCCCTTTTTAAATAAAACTCCACACTGAGGTAGTAGTATGTCAAAGTATTTCTTTGGTTCCAGAAATCAATGGCAGGTCCAAAAGGAGCTATGTATCCAAATCACAGGATGGGAAAGTTGAAGTCCTAAAGTTTTCAAAGGACTGTTTGTAAGTATAAATGCTATTTTCTCCTCTAGAAACTGTCCTTTCCTTTCCATCTTCGTCTGCCTCTGCATCGAAGTCCAGTGAGGCATGAGGATTATGATGGGAGGTTTTTGTTTGGCAAGTTGCTGGCTGTCTACAACTTGAAAGAGAGTCCAGCTGAGGCCTCCATAAAGGCTTTCCAAATGTTCCTGAAAGACAGTAAATGAGTAAGTACAGCAATACTGATGCTGACAGTTTTGTATCTCACTAAGGACTGCATGTTAGGATGCGAACCAAAGATCAACACAAGCAAAAGTTCACTAAACTCAGATTTTACTTCACTGTTTTTTTACCCCTTCAAAGAAAACATCCATGTGATCACAAGCGTAAGGCAAGATCCTGCCACCTGAGACATTAAAAACATTTCCAAAGTAAACGTATTGCCACACACAACTTTGTTACTTTTGTTTTCAGGACTACTCCCATGCCCGTTTTTCTTTGGGGAGGGTGGGCACAGAGACCAAACTGCAAAGGTATCACAAGACCTTTTCTAATGCAAAAGTCAGAACTATCTCCCTGCTTTGTTCTTCAGTCAACAAATGGCACATTAAATCTGCCATGCAGTTCAGCAAAAATTAAAAAAAAAAAAAAACAAAGAAAAAAACCAACATGTATAGAGTTATACAATATCCTCCCACCATGCAATCTGAATGCTAAACCAATCTTTTTCTCGCTAGCATCTCCCACTAACAAGAAAGCTCCACCAGCCCAATTGTCCACTCACACTTTTTCATCTTTTTGCCCACAATCGGCTAGAAAAGACATAGTCCAAAAAGAATTTAGCATTTCAGTTGAACCTTTATTAATAATTATCTAGATTCGCTAGCCAAAAAATAATTAGTGTGCCTGTCACTCTTCACCATTGGGAAGGTGTTAACATCAATCCCTCTGCAAGAAGTGCCTTCTCTTTTTTTGAGGGAAGACAGACATGGACATCACAAGCCACAGCGCCCGTAAGTGACACTGAAAATTTGACACTGATTTTCAGAGGACAATGTGCCACACGCTGATTCTGAACAACTCGGGTTTTATTAACAACTTAACGCTATAATCATTAATAAAATTTGCACCCAAAAAGCCATACTTCTAGTTTTTCTTAGCGGCTAGAAGCAAAGGCTTCAAGTAAAACCGCAATCTGAGAAGTTACTAAAAATGGTTTTGGACAAGGTCCATATTTGCATCAATGATTTGCAGAGCAATCTTGCTCCTAACACAACATGAAAGGACATGCCTCACAGCACCAAGGCTACAAATGAATCCTGTCTTTAAAAAAAAAATAAATAAAACCAAGCTGTGAACTTTCTGGCTCATGTGTCAACAGTAATGTTAATGCCAGCTGTCTTCTCCATTGTGACTGTAGAGGCAAAAGAGGGACTGAATTTGAAGACAATGATGCTGAAGAAGTGAATCCACAACTGAAGACACAAAGTCTATAAAGACTTCTTCCACAGCACCACTTCCAAAATCTAACCATAGGTTCTTTGAGTGATGAGTGCTAACAATTATGAAGTGTCTAAGGCAACGATGATACAACTTGAGTGGGGTAGTAGCTCAGAGAACCGACAAAAAAAAAGTAGCTCTGCATAGATTTTTAGGGCAGAACAGGGAATATGAGCCCTCAAGGTTGCATTAACTCCCGTGTGTACCCACGTACGGTGGAACTACTTTCTGCAGGAGACGTGGTGAAGTCCTATCTGCACAGTCCCACCACAGCAATAGTGGCAGGCAGCCAGGAGAACGTGTGTAGTCCCAGGGCCCCTGCCAGATGTCATGGCATCTGCAATGTTTTACAGTCCAAACATCTGGCTTTCAAAGGGGGAAAATTTCAGAGCTTGTACCTCCCTCTCCACCCCTGAGAACAAAGAGCCCAGTGATACACACTCCCCCAAGTCTGCAGAGCCAGCAGACCCAGGCCTTGATCGACCATGCTGACACACCAGCTGTGAGACAATCCATGGTACCAGGGCTGCACTTGGCACTCGGATATCACAGAGACAAAAGCAATAAGTGGGTTTATATGCATTTTCAGCTAACCAACCAAACCAACACTCAAAATTCAGGGAGCTTCAAAGGTAAAGAAACGCTTTTCTCCTTCCCCTTACCTCTCCTTGCAATCCGGATTAAAATTGTAAACCCTGAATTAAGCTTCAGGAACTGTTTTGTCACACACACCATGAGAAACGAAGACAAAGGAGGGGTAGAGAGGGCATTTTTCCACAGTGTTTTACTTTGAAGGGTAAATAGTTCTGGCTCACTGTGTTATAAAATATATCCTCATACACTGGAGTTCAAGTCTCCCCACATGCCCTGAGCCCTGCTGGGACCTTGCACATCTTCTGCCTGCCAGTTTGTTAAGGTGCATTTAAGTAAGTATCCTAACATTATGGAAATCTGCCAGCTATATTAAGCTAAAAGACAGGAATCACACCACTGATGAGATTTTTATGTACGAGTGAGCTATTAAGATCTCCTAGTAATCTAAATATGCTCATTATGTAGTTTTACTCTAAACACTTTTCTGTTCCTGAACTTTAAACATTTGGGATGTTGTATCTAATGGTCTTGAGAAGTCAGATCTCCTGAGAAGTAGAAGGCGGCTCACAGTTACACCCAGAGATGAACCACCTCACTGGACTATCACGTTTGACCTGAGGACTGTATGTCAGTTCTGCTTTTGACCAAGCCCCAAGCTGCTCCCTCTGTAACACAGGATAGGGCCTATCTCCTGGCTAACTCAAGGTAGGATCCAGAGGGCACCCTGACTTCTGGGGCATCCAACTGTCCTCATGCAGTGCAGTGGAAAAAGAGTGACCCTACGTGTATAGTGCAGTTGTGCAAGGCTTAAAAAAATAGATACTGCAGTATCACAAGTTATGCAGGGAGGAAGAGGGGGGAAGAAAACAAAAAGGCAAGAACACATGCAAAATGTCAAGGACAACTCTCAATTGCCTTTCCTCAGCTACTTCCTGTCTCTCCTCTCCTTTCTGAACTATTTATATTCCACATGCTGTATTACAGTTAAATTCACAGACACAAAAAGACAACCATGCGATATTGCACAGAATTAGTTTTTTCACAACAGTAGCTATATGAGCATCTAAACACTACTACAGAATTACCAGTTGCAGGAGTAGAGAAAAAAGCTGAGAAATCAGTTTTTCTTAGTGTTGGATGCAGGAAATGAGACAGCAAGCATACCAGCAGCTTGAAAGAAAATCAAAAGGTAGAACATACCCATGAAAGTGCTGTTACTGATAATAGATGAGGGTTCCAAACTTCTGTTTACGTCACATGTGTCTGAGTTCAGACTTTTGCTTTTTAGTCCAGTTCCTTCATTTTGAGTATAAATGGAGTTAATCAATTTGCTACTTGTAGCCTGCATCCCAATTATGCCAACACAATGATCAAAAGGATCTTCCAGTGGAGGTGAGTATTGATAGCATTCCTTTTTCTTTAGATATCCAGACTCGTAAGGGTCCAGGCATGCTGTTCTTTGGTCAGGGCTGCAACCTAAAGAAAATGAAAAATTGTTTTTACATAGATTCATCACAGCACAACATCAAATTAGCATTAAAACCTCCCCCATCTCAACTTACTTGCACTGTATGCTTCAAAGGCCTCAGAGCCGTATGTGTTTCCTTTTAAATACAAAGTCCCTGAAGTCCCCAGATAGTGACACAGGAACGGATCTGCAACACCCTCCAAGTCTGTTTCACTGCCATTATCTAGATGGCAAATGCCTTAAAAATAAAATTGACATGTCAGCGTATGGTCTTTTCTTAAAACTTCAGCTTACAGTTTCTTAAGTTTTGTCCTTTTAAGAACCCTGTCTGTTCAACTAAATTTCACAGTGCATTTAGAGCTCTCAAGTTTAACCTAGCCTTTTGATGAGAACTCCAGTTCTAGCAAGTGTTTAATTAATTAGCTTGAGAGAGAACATGTCACACTTTGCTTCATTATACAGTCCCTGGATAACAGAACAAAGCCAATCACAGGAATCAGAACCAGGGACCTTCCTTTCTCTAAAGCACTAGAAGCCAGGCTTATGCTCTGTCACACAGCAACTTTTCTCATTAACACACTGTGCTCCAGAAGTCCCAGGTGGAAGAGTCTGAGGGAGTCACTGGCTGCTCGAACAGCTACACTGACTTTCAGCTCAACGTTTCCTGAAAGCTGTGGACATGGTCTGTGGTTCTTGCTCTGCAAAGAGGCTGCTCTTCTCACTGCCCTACAACTGCAGAACCCTCTCATCACTGCTACATTCCCAATTGCCTCAACTCCTGACTGTATCTTGGTCGCAACCCCTTCCCAGCAAGGTGCCTTTTCTTCCCTAACTCAGGTATGTTCTGGATTCTCAGAGGCCAAACGTATAAATATTAAGTAGTGCAGCTTTTAACTTGCAGCCACCTTAAATCCTTTATTGACTCTGACCCTAATGACTTTTTTAACAGGAAAGTTTAATCAGTTATGTTATACTAAAGTTACACTGGCATTACCACCCATCCCTGCATTCCATCACAAGCACCCTTTTCAAGCTATAACAGAAGAAGACACGCTGTTTTAATTCCTTCTGGACACTCTTTTTTTGGAGATGCGATCACCAGTTTAAATTTGCACTTGAGACTAGAGAAAGACTTCATGATTTAAGCAAAGCCATAACGTCATTCGGATGAACAGAACCAAGTTTCTGTTATTATCTCGTTAAAGCAATCTCAAGCAATAAATTTCACATCCTCTCAAACTTCAGTGAAGATGTCTCTTTAGTCTTATTTCTGTTAGTTAGAAAGACAGTAGCCCAACTGCAGCTATTCCAGCAACGTAGAAAATCTGCTTAACGTTTTACACCTACCATTACTGTCCCTCTGCTGCAAGAAATACCCTCCCATGGAAGATGTGAAGAACTGATGATGACTGCCATTTTCAGATGAACCATATCCATCCTGCCTTTCAGCCAGTGTCCCCTGGGATGACAGGTAGCTTGGAATGTCAGCAGGCAAGTTTGTTTCATCTGCAGGGAAGCAAAACACACACCAAAGCCATCAGCATACTTTAGAGTTTGTAGAAGCATTTTTAAACTTGTCAGCAAAGTGTTGAAGGTAACAAGCAATTCACTCTTCTGACACTGAGTCAAAGCACACAAATGTTCCTACAATGAAGTCATTGCAAAGCAACCACAACCTTTTTTTTTCCTTTCCAAGGCAAACCTTCAGTTTACGCACCTGTATTTGTAATGCTGCAATCTTCATTTCTCCTTCTGGTGTGGTAGATGATGACCACCCACACCAAGGAAGTGCCCACCACACAGCAAACCACAGCTATGATCACAATGCCAACTGTGGCCCATCCATCATCATCAAGTGATGCAGCAATGTTTTGAGGAGAATCACAGGTGGGAGTAGGAATTACATTAAGGCGGATGTTGCCTCGTTCTGTTCCAAGTGTATTAGACATTTCACAAGTGTATTTCCCAGCATCTTCTACATCTGTATCGACAATAATTAGTAACTGATTGCCTGCGGCAAAGAAATGTCTTTCTGTTACCACGAGGGGGCTGTCATCCTTAGTCCAGTTCAGTCGGGGTGGAGGGCTACCACCAGCAATACACTGCAAGACTGCAGTTTCACCTTTTGTTACAGTTCTATCCAGCAAAGGCCGCAAAAACGATGGTGTTTCTGAAAAGAAAGCATAAGCCTTATGTTCTAAATGACCTTGGAAGAATGGGAACATGTCCCTTTCCTTCACGGCTCAAGAGGAAAAGCTAAATTAAATGCATCAGTTAGGCCTAATGAAGCTTGCTCTTACTCTCAGAAAAAATAAATTCAAGGAATTTGAACTTAGAGTCTACAGTTTACTTGTCGATTGATCAGACCTAGATGCTTGACTACCTTAGAAGGTAAAAAGGCCAAATCATACATGCTCGAGACTGCAGAGAACTAGACTAAAAACGGTTAACAAAATGCCAGGAAATTAAAAGATAAAACAAAATCTCCTGACCCTAAACAAAAATAACAGCCCCTTTTACTACCCCCCTGCCTATCAGACACTGTGTTCACACTGAGAAACATAACTAACTTTTATTATTTTGCATCATAATAGTGATTGTGTGCTGGAGTACATATTTCTTGTCTACAACTATGTATCAATACAAATTATTTCACAGTATTTGTATTTCTATATGGTACTTCCTTAACAATGCTATTTTTAATCATAAAATCATAGATGGTTTGGGTTGGAAGGGATCTCAAAGATCATCTAGTTCCAACTCCACTGCCATAGGCAGGGACACCTTCCACTACACCAGGTTGCCCCCAGTCCCATCCAACCTGGCCTTGAACACTTCCAGGGATGGGGCATCTACAACTTCTCTGGGCAACTGGTTCTAGTGCTTCACCACCCTCATTGTAAAAAATTTCTTCCTTGTATCTAATTGAAATCTGCCCTCTTTCAGTTTAAAGCCACTGCCCCTTGTCTTATCACTACATACCAGTAGTACATAATCAGTTGACAATTTTAAAAGTGCTCAGCAATAGTTCTGTTCAAGGAGATTATGCCAATGTATTGTCAATGTCTTACCTAGTACTGTTAACGTTGCATTAGCTGAAATGCTTCCAGCAGTGTTTTGAGCTGTACAGCTATAAACGCCTGTGTCCTCAATCTTTACATCAACAATGAAGAATACGTCATCTTCAGGCATGACATGCATGCGCCTCTTGCGCGCTGCAGGAAAATCCGTTCCACCATCTTTCTGCCAAGCAATCTGCGGGACAGGATGCCCAACTGCAGCACATTCCAAGCGTGCCATTGCCCCAGCACGAATGGTTAAGTCCATGGGGATCTTTGTAAATGAAGGCAGCACTAAAGAAAGTTTAGCAACACCAGAATGAATAAATGAAACATACTTTCCCTTTTTTGCACAGCACATTCTTTCCACCTTTTTTAGGGGCTAAAAATGTGAGTGAAGCATACAATCTGAATTTATCAATAGCCAGCAAAGAGAAATGAGGGGCTGTGAAATACGTGAGACTGCCTAGATCAAAATCTCATTTCTTCCAACAGCCTCGTACATGACCTTTCCATAGTACCTTGAAATAGAGTATACACTTACCTCCTGTGAAGAAAAGATTAATGTTTTTCCATCTTGTTACCCAGATTTTGTCAGATTTACTACAAACTGGGTCTATTATGTTTTTTCCTATACTATGGTTCAGCACAATGGGGCCAGATGTAAAACTGAATGGTGATCTTGGAACTAGACACATTTTAAGTAATCTCAGCTTACTAAGGGATCTTATAAAAGACACAGATAATGAGAATGGAAAAAAACCTGTGTTTACATATCTTGATTAAAATCATTCTACTTTAAATCCACAAGTAAAAAGTAACATACTTACTGTTTACTGTAAGTTTGGCTTTGACAGAGTAGGATGAACCAAAATGATTTGAAATAACACACTGGTATTTCCCTTCGTTACTGAATTCAACATTGCGCAGTCGAAGGATGGTAGTGTACTCCATCACTTCACCACCCTGTGCCCGGAGGTGCGCGTAATTCTCCATTTCAGCATCTTGCAGTAATTCATTGTCTTTCTTCCATGCAAAAGTCATTGGGGAATCACTGCTGCTGGCTGCCGAACATACGAAACTCAAATTGGAGCCTTTGATTGCTGACTGGGTTTCTGGCTGGACAGTGATCTGTGGTTTAGGAAAATCATCTGCAGAGAGAGGAGAAAAAGAAAAATGTAACACAGAGGAAGAGCAACAACAACAACAAAAAAATATGTGAGGCCTAAAGACCCGTTTAAGAAAGAGCTTGTAAGACTTATTTTATAGGTTTGAAAGAAGAGTCAGATAAGTATTTGTAAAATAGATACACAATGCTTTCATTTTAAATTTCGCTAGCCTTAGGGCATTTAAAGATGCCATCTTCATGAGTTTATTGTGCCAAGTCATCTCTTATTGAGGAAAAAGCACTTTCAAAAGCAGACTGTGCGTACAGTTTGTTCAACAACAGCACTAAAGAGGAGAGAACTACCCCCTGACATCTGCAAGAACTATTCTCAACGTCAGTCATGAAGCCTACTCCTCATCTTTACAACACCTCGGGCTGCTGTGAGTTTTTCTTTATTGAAAGCATAGTTCTTCTGCCATCAGAAATTGCAAGTTAAAGTCAAGGGTTTTCCCCAAACCCACAAAAACCAATCATGTACAAAAGTCATTGTTCCAGTGATTTGTGGCTGTTTGGTCAGCACCTTACGAACACAGCAGTGCTGAAAATCCCTTCAGCAGGGCAGCATGCAAGAATTTCAAGAAATTAGTTTCTAGAGGTCCCTTTACTATTGGAAAGTTACCTTCAAAGTGCCATTCTGCAAGTTTACAGAATTAGTTGCCTTCTGAACTATTTATTCTGTCAATTGCATGTACAAAAGGAGTGGCCAATTAAATGCTTGGTCTTCCCAAAGCAAAAGCCTTAGCGTATTCCCAACTTTCAAGATGTCTCCTACCTCCTGACGAAGACACAGGCTCAAACTTCATAGTCACTGTAGGAAAAGCCCTGGGCCCCAACTACTCCTCACTGCAGACCCTGCCTGCACTGCAGAGTCAGATTTTACCTAGCCTCTTCGCCTCCTTACGTCTCATCCATTTGGGAACAACATACCAGGGTCAAAGTCTAATTTCCTTGAAGAACCTCCACTCTGCATGTTACAAAAATAAAATGAGATGTGCAGACAGCCTGAACTTGAGCTGCCTGCAGAACACTTGCAAGTCTGGAGTCATGCTTCAGTGACAAGGCAACATGGATCCCCTGATCTGGGGCCCTAAGCACGAGCCTTAAGGATCTCCCAGGCCATTTGTTTTTTGTACTTCATACCCATGCCTCAAGTCCTCCATTACAAACTACACCATTTGCAATTGGTAGTTATTCCTGTGAAAAGTCAGTGAAAGTAAGTAAAACACTGTGAATATTTAAATTAGCCTTGTGAAAGGACAGAAGAACATAACTTCATTCTGTTTTAGTTGTACTATCAATGGAATATTTTGGAATTGTAACTGTTTGGCAGGAAGTGGGGGGGATGAAAAGGTCACCCAAATAAGCAGATACTACAGAATACAGAAGACTATTCTAGGGTAAGACTGGCAATGTGTTTTGTCAAAACAGAGTAATTTGAGAGTGTATTTAAATACTTGTATCACAGAAACACATACATACAGATACACACAGAGACACATACTCTCTCTGAGAAATACATTTCTCATTTTATAGAAGCCGCTTGACTACTATGTAACAGAAAACGAGCTATATATCACCTCGATGGTACTCTTTTAGCATCACGATGTTAAACTGAAGTAATTAATACAGGTCAAAAAAGCATCTATTCTGTTTTTGTTCCACAGTTATTTTTAGTATAGAAATGTCTCACAATTTGTTTCAACTTGAAAGACATGATCTTAAGCACAAATTACACAGATATTCTATTTTTTTTAGTTTCACAGATAGGGAACCCTTGCCTAACACATGCTTTCCTTTAACAAATCCAGGATGACTCCCTCCTATCCCCTAGCTGTTCTCAAAAATGTAACTTGGCACGATTTGGAGGATTTATAGACTCGTACAAATTATACGTAATAGATTATTTATTTTAATCTCAGGCAGGATTTAACACACTTGAAAATCCTACAAACGTAAAGGTGGCCATTGTAAACTTATAAGGTATGTACACTCAAATGTCTAGTGATAGCACACTTTAAAGATTTAATAAACAGTGAACCACTCATCAGTTGTATTAAGAGATTCTAGTTACTTCTGCATGACAATTACTTTATGTATTAAGTATAACATAGTACATTCCTTTTTGCTAATATATCTTAAGGGTTTTGAAATTAATTTATTAAAAATGGCATTCAGCAGCTAAAAAAAAGATGATCATGATCCCCCGTGGTTTAACAAAGAGATATAGATTTTAATCCCCCAATTTAATTTCTTGCCAAAATGAGTTTCTCATAAATAAGGATGCATAGTTCATACATACTCCATTAGCTATTGAGTTATCTGTAATTTCCTGTACTATGTCAACTTCCTCTTTTCAGCAGTAGCTAGATTATGCACCATTTACTCATTATTTAACATTAATATATTAAACACTTGACTGCTAATAGCAAGGGAGAAAACATTTTTGTACACTATTTTATATTCTGTGCCTGCATTCCCACTGAAAAAAGAGTGCGAGAGGCAACAGTAAAAATTAAGCAGTCATATTTGCTGTGAGAGGAAGTTATTGAGAAGACAAATAGTTACTGTTTTTTCTCCAAAGAACATAAAGTTTGAATTTTATTTAGTAAGAAAAATAAAATGTAGTCAACAAAAATCCATGAAATCCATTTAGCTCTCCATCTCCTGATAATTCCAAAGTTCCCACTTAATGTATCAGAGTACTCAAACGCACATCTTTACTCTGAATGCTTAGCTTCACTTTGCTTTAAATAGAGAACATAACATATAGGTGATAATGAATGTTACTACACACAGAGAAATTTCATTTTTAAGGCGGAAGCTATCACCTCAAATTCTCAAGTTTTAAAGTAAAAATATTTTACTAGCATTTACTATCTGGCATACTGAAATACAAAATATCAGTAGCATAACTGTGGTAATTGGATGTTTTAAAATACAGTTTACATACAGGCAATAACTTACACGGTCCAAATAATTTTTAAAGTAGACAACAAGCACACATAAAAAAGGTCACACCTGAGGTCAGTATGGCTGTTTTACCTTCACATTTTCTCAGCTCTGGAATAACTTCAAGACTAATGAAGTATGAATTTACAAATAATTCAAACCAAGAATTGTATCTTAAGTTTGCCAAAATATGTCTTGTTTAAAAATGATAGTTTTCTAAACAATATCCATCTTTTAAATCTATAAGCATATACATTTACCACCGCAAACTATTGAGCTTTCCCTGGCACGCTACGCTATGCACTACAAAAGCAAGCCGTACATGAAATAATTAAGTCAGACAACCATCGCTCCCCATCGTCTACATCGCAGTTTGGGAACAGAGAAGGAAATGTTAACAAATACTAAATCCTCTCCATTTTATTAGAGAAATCAAAACATACCAAAGAAACCACACAAAAATCAATGCATTCAGCAAAATTTGTTCTATGGAATGAGGAACAGAGGCTATACTCACCACAGACAAACCCATCCAAGTTGACAGCAAAAATACTTCTTCCTTTTAGCAGCTGAGGATGGGCACAACTGGCATTTACAAAGCTCTGGAAGTTGTTCTCTGACATCCACTGTGGCAGCCATTTTAACTGGCAGTCGCACAGGAGACTCGATGTGTTTAAGTGCCTAAGAAAAAGTAATTACATTCAAAGCCTGTTTGCTTGTTTTTTTTCTAATACAGAGCTAAACAAGCAGTAAACAAAACTAAATGTTCAGACTAAATGCATATATCACAAGTGAAAGACAGCAGTATTATTTAGCTCAGATGTGGTGACACCATTGTCATGACTCCTACATTCTATAAAGCAGACATGTTATTCTGAACAACCAGCTTCTGCTACGAGTATGAGCCCAGGCAGTCAGGCATATTTGTAGTGTCTTGGGTACAAAACTACAGTCAGCAGTAGAACACACAGAACGGGCATGTAGGAGAACAATCCAGAAGGGAGGCACTCTGGAAGCTAACGTCAAAAAATTCTGAGGCAATTACATTCCCTCATTTCCATTTCAGTCAGAATTTATCTTGGGGAAGACATTTAAAAAGGGGAGTGGGGAGACGAAAAACAGTCAAGTGTTGTGAAACAACAAATCCAGAACCGGTTAATCAGCTTACCTAACCTGTGCGAATGGCTACATTCACAGAGGGGGAAAAAATAAGCAAGCAAAGTGACATTCTGTGAAGCATCTAGAATTGGGAGTTGAAGTAAGAAGAGTTCTCAGTTTTGGCTGAAAATTCAGAATCGCCCTTAGAAAATCGTATTTAAAAACACCATCAGTAATAAAATTCCTGTCTTCAAATCTTAACTGTTCTTGAAGGAGAAGCAAAAATAATGTATGGATCCAGCAAGCTAAACAGCTTTAAAGACAAATGAAGACATAACAATTCTTGATTTTTTTCTTGAAGAAAAGGAAGAGCATCTTTGTGCTCTTTTTTTCACACTAATACTGCATGGATAAAACCTAGGGATGCCAGCTCACCAGTTCATATTGAGATGAAACAGATCATCTTTCACTGAAGTTCTAGAGGCATTCTTGTTATTCTTAGGAGGCAGAGAAACGACAGCATTTTTTGCTACCCTGATGCAGTGGGCATCTGTCATGTTATTTTCACATTTACTCTCTAGGGGCCTCAGAATAAAATTACTAGATGGGAATTTATACTAAATAATCTTACTTCTGGGAAAGTACTTTCAACCATCTGTCTAGACCTTCCTCAGACATAATGGATGTCTACCAAGTGTTTCAAGAAAAGTACAAAAAAACCCCAACCCAACAAATCTTGAATAGCTATTTCACTGAAGTGTTTGGAGTCTGCTATCTTGTAGCGTCTTACATCTCCTGGAGCAGTGTTAGTCTGTCATTCCATCACATTTGATCACTCTTCAAATCATCTATATCAATCCCTAATTGTCAGCACTGTGCTTCCACCACTTCTCTTGTGCCAAATCTAGCAATTGCCCTGCAGCTGGCAGAGTGAGTTCAGCAAAGTAATGAAGCAATACAACTAGATCCAACCGAAGGAAGAGGAAAGGTAGAAACCCCCTGGCTACAGGGGCAGCTACACCAGGATACAGGTAACATCAAACTGAACTTTGAATGAACCAAATACTGTTTAGATACAAGAAAGAAGTATTTTACAGTGTGAACAATCATACACTGGCACAACCTCCCCAGAGATGCGGTGGAGTCCCCAGTACTGAGGGTTTTCAAGACACAACTGGACAAAGTGCTAAATAATCTCATCTAGGCTCCCTCTTCCACAAAAGGTTGGACCAGATGACCTTTTGAGGTCACTTCCAACATGGGCTGTTCTATGACTCTATGAAATATGTATGGCTCCTCATTACTTCCTCTATGGCACCCAACATGGAGTAATATCGTAAGATGAAGTAGAGAGCCAGCTGCTAGGATGATACTTGACAGGAATCTGGAGAACACAAATTAAAAGCTCCAGACAAGCTTCAGGCAGTTTCTACTTGTTATGAGAGCAACATCTTTTAGTTATTCCTTAGTTTGTTGACAGATTGTCCACAGAGCAGCTCAGGACAACAGATCTGACTAGAGAAGGCTGATATGAACATAGGCAACATAAGGTATATGCAAGGGGAAGAATCACCTGTGCTCAAAACACAGGGAACAGCGACAGAGATTTTTCTGCATTCATCAACAGAAAAAGAAGGTAAGAGGACAAAAAAAAAACCCTGAAAGCTCACTAGAAGAATACATTCTTCTCAGTGACCGCATCATGACTTCTCCGAAGATCTGCCCCTTTGCTACTACAGGACAGAAAGACCCAATTACAAGCACTGACAACCAGGTCTTTACAAAAGAATTACAGAACTAAATTTCACTGCTCCAGTAAGCTTTAGCTCAGTGATAGCACTGCTGATTTTATAGCACATTACATCAAAGTCTTCCTTATCTAATACCTATTAGAGATCGGCCAACTTAAAATAAGGACTCTAGACACCAAATGTAGCAGCAAATGAATGCTACACTATCTCACTTAAATACAGTCACCACATAAAAAAAAAAAAAGACAAAACACTGACATACCCTTTTTACACGACTTCAGAGAGATTACAGTGGGAGTTTATCACTACATCAGGCAACATCTTACAAGGCTTTACTTATATATTTATATGGATAAATGTATTTAATAGAGGTGATGTCTTTAGATCAAAACTTACAATTCTTTGAGTTTCTTCATTTGTGAAAATGCATTTCCTTGAACTGACATAATTGCATTGTTACTTAGATCTCTAGGGGGAGAAAAAGAAAATTAACATTAGAGGAGGAAAGAGTAATTTATTAAACTGAATATATTTAAGACTCAAGGAATAGTCTGCTATCTTAGTGACATGTAAAGGATCCCCTAGCTTGAAAACTAAAGAGACAGGATTAAAGAGTATTATAGCATGCTTAATATAACACTTTCTGCATTAATGCCAAAATTCACATTCACCATAACTCCAAAACAAAAGAATCTTCTCAAGATCACAGTAGCAACCAGGGTAAGTGTATTTCATTCAAAGTTACAAATAAAGATTTTAAGTCCTACATTTATTTCAATTACTATCAAAATTAATTTTTGCAATGTTGGGTTAAATGTGAATTTGTACTACTTACAGGTGTTCAAGCGCATCCAAACCAGAAAATGCTTTCTTTGTAATGGATCTAATCCTATTTCCTTGTAGTAGCCTGAAAAATAAAAGCACATGATGCAAAAAAGATGCAATAAAATGGAAGCATTTTTTTGAGCTGAACAATTGTATTTTTGATATTTCTAAACTGTGACTAATATTCACCATTCAGTCTTCCCCAATGCAGCAAAATGTCTTACCTCTAAGAGACGTCATTTATTACCCTTGAGTAAACACCTAGATTTTACTATTATTTTAGAAGATGTTTAATGTGTACAGTTCAGTGATATGAATTATTCTAAATGTATATACATATGCATCCTTTTATTTCATAGATGTGCATTTGAAAATTTCAATGCAATGAAATTCAATGCAATGCGCTTCCACTGCATGCTGCATTACTTCATCAAGGACTATCCCTCTCACTATGCCTTTGTCATGTAATGCACTTATTAGTTCCTATTACGAGAAACCCTCATTCTTTGAGGAAATGTCTCCATAACTAGTAATAATATTTTAAATATTTCAGGTTAGTCTGACTTGAAAAAATCTGGAATTTCTCTTACAGAAAAAGAACATTTTATAGAGAAAAAAATGGTAGGGGAAGAAAAAAAATCATCTCAGCTACGGAAAATATAACATCATTAAAAGTCCAGCTTGTCCCTCTAAACACACATAATCATAGAATGGTTTGGGTTGGAAGGGACCTCAAAGATCATCTAGTTTCAACCCCCCTGTCATGGGCAGGGAACCCCTCCACTACACCAGGTTGCCCAAAGCCTCATCCAACCTGGCCTTCAACACTTGCAGGGATGGGGCATCTACAACTTCTCTGGGCAAACTGTTCCAGTGCCTTACCACCCTCACCGTGAAAAATTTCTGTTGAACAAACTGTACGCACAGTCTTCCTTATATCTAATAGAAATCTCCCCTCTTTCAGTTTAAAGCCATTGCCCCTTGTCCTATCACTACATGCCCTTGTAAAAAGTCCCTCACCAGCTTTCCTGTAGGCCCCCCCTTTAAGTACTGGAAGGCTGCTATAAGATCACCCCGGAGCCTTCTCTTCTCCAGGCTGAACAGCCCCAACTCTCTCAGCCTGGCTTCATAGCAGAGGTGTTCCAGCCCTCGGATCATCTTTATGGCCCTCCTCTGGACCCACTCCAGCAGCTCCATGTCCTTCTTGTGTTGGAGACTCCAGAGCTGAACGCAGTATTCCAGGTGTGGTCTCACAAGAGCTGAGTAGAGGGGCAGAATCACCTCCCTCGACCTACCGGCCACACTTCTTTTGATGCGGCCCAGGATACGGTTGGCTTTCTGGGCTGTCAGTGCACATTGCCGGCTCATGTTGAGCTTCTTCTTATCACCAGCACTCCCAAGTCCTTTTCCTCAGGGCTGCTCTTAATCCATTCTCCGTCCAGCCTGTACTTGTGCTTGGGATTGCCCCGACCCATGTGCAGGACCTTGCAACTTGGCCTTGTTGAACTTCATGAGGTTCTCACAGGCCCATCTCTCCAGCCTGTCAAGGTCCCTCTGGATGGCATCCCTTCCCTCCAGCGTGTCCACAACACCACACAGCTTAGTGTCATCTGCAAACTTGCTGAGGGTGCACTCGATCTAAACTCATTTTTTTTTAATCTAAACTAATTTTTTAAGGAATGACGAGATACAAATATTGTAGCAATACTCACAGCTTCCTAAGTTTATCCAGGCCAGAGAAGGCACCATTCATATCTTCAATAGTCCATGATATTTCATTGTTTTTCAGATCCCTGTTCAAGGGGGAAGGGGAAATGAAACCACAAGAGCTATTAAAAAGAACAAGGCACGTACTTCTTCAAGAGCATGTATTATTTAAAACAATTTCTAAAATAGCTTTCTGGTAGGTTGTTTTTTGTTTGTTTGAGGTTTGTTTCTCTGTTTAAGAGAAGCTTTTCCTGATTAGCTATTTCATTTCAGTTTTTACTGAGAGACTTTGAAATACTATTGGTACTTTTTCCACTGATAATTAAAAAGATCATAAATCCAACAGTTTTAAGAATCATTAGAAAACAAAACCACATTCCCCAATAAGGGTATTTAGATGCAGGACTATCATAAGATAGGAGTGTCACAGGAAGGGAAGGGATTAACTGTTGCCCCTTCGAAACAAAATACCCTCAGTCCTTTTTAAGTTCATAGTATTAACACATAGCGAACACAGAGATTTATATTAAAGTGAATTACTTTTACATCCTACAACATCCACAACACTAGCTTAATTATCTGCGAAGCACAAAGAGATTAGAGATTTGTAAAAAGAACAGCATATCAGCAAAGAATCAACAGGAAAGGGCTAGAGGAGGGAAAACACAAACAAACAACTAAAATAATTGAGGAGGAAAAGTCTAACACTTAATTCCTGGACATCTCACAAGTCTCTGACTTCTCTGTACAATCTCTATCTCTCTGTGAATTTAAAAAATACAGCATATACCCCTCTGAACTGCACCTTTGCTAGATGCTCAAAGTGTGAGTGTGCGAGCAAACCCCTGAAAGTAAAATGTTAGCACCCTTTTCAAAGCCTAGAGGGAAACGCAATCATTTCATTCATCTGGCTGACAGATGTGTCAGTGATACGCAATTGCAAGATTTTAATGAAGCAGAATATATTTAGATTAGTTTACTTCTTTCTTCCCCTTCCATTAAAGAATGCTATTTCAAAAAATGCTCAAACACTCAATGCAATTCCTCAGTCACAAAAAGCATCAGCATCCACAGTAATAAAGAGTTTTGAGTTTTGTCATCTATTTCTACCATTAGGAAAAATGTTGATTCAGTTAAGACACAAGTATGATCCAGATCCGTAAAGCTGTGGGTAGCAGTGCTGCTTGCTGTCTCCAAATGGAAACATGCCTTTCCTCTAAGAATGCCACTGAAAGCTCGTATCCTAACTACCACCATCCATTCTGCACAGCCTTAACAAAAGAGGAAGCCCTCCCTCTCTCAACTATTCTTAAAAAAAAACTACTGTAAGAAAGACATATGCTAGGAAAAGTTAACAAAAGGTTCTTGTGTATTTCATAAGAACAAAAACCCATAAATCTATAAACACTGAGGGTTTTTCTTAAGGTTTTTGACCTTAAAAAATGAGTTTGTCAACTTACAAAGTCTGTAGACTGGAAAGTCCCCGGAAGGCACAATCGGCAATGTAATTCACTTTGTTGTTTCCAATGTACAGTCCAACCAGCACACTTAAACCAACGAAGCTTGAATCATCTAACCTTGCTAAGTGATTGAACGTCAAATCTCTGCATATTCAAGGAAAAAAATGTATTTTAATGTTTGTGCTGCAGTGCTTATTACCCAGTTCAACCCAGGTGAATTTTCAGGGAGGGAGAAAGTTTTTTTCCCTTATAACTATCACAAAACCTACTACACCATTTCGAATCGCACAGCTTGTGTATCATTTCCAACAATACACAAATTACTGTAGAATTAATTTATTTAATTTGAAAACGACTGTGTTGCAGTTTTAGTACAACTGCCTCAGTGAAATGAAGCAGTCACGGTTGGCTTCAACTTCTTTCAACAAAATATAACTGTCTCACATACCAAACAGTTGTTGTCACCTTGGAAACTCTGTTACAAAAAATTCACAGATCAGTGGTAAGAAGCTCATGCTTTGGCATGTACCCGGCTTTCAAAACTGGAATAGAATAAAAGCTACTCACAGCTCACTGAGTTTTTGGCAAAATTCCCAGGCATCAGGACTGATCCTGCTGATGGCGTTTTGGCTGAGATGGAGCTGCTGCAGCATCAGCAAGCCATAAAGCCAGCCTTTGGTTACCTCTGTTAAGTTGTTATGGTCCAGCTGCCTACAAACACACACAAACAGATAAAAGACATGAGGTTCAGAAACTTGGTGGTGAGCGTGCTTTGCCACAGGTCCACATCCAACTTCATGACACCAGCTAGATAGCTGCAACCTCTATTTACATTCAGAGTGGCATGCATGCATTCAGAATGTGCTGTCCCACACATTCACCAATGAATGAAAGCTTCCTGCTTTTCAAACCACACTAGAACCATTTAATTCAAAACCACCTTTGAATCTTATCACGCAATTCTATTCATTTTGCGCAACTCTACTTGACGTGTTACCCGTAGAATCTATTAGCAGAAAGTGGATACTTACAAGACTTCCATGTTGCTTAAGCCCCAGAAAGCGCCATCCATGAGCCTAGTAACCCCATTCCTCTGCAGTTTTAATGATTTCAAAGCTGGAAGTCCTTGGAAAGTAAGCCCATCTATTTTTTTAATTTTGTTGCGATTCAGTTCCCTGCATCAATAAAATTTACAGTTACAGCAGAGTAAGTTTACCTGCATGCCAACAAACCTTCCCTCTCTGGACACAAACCTTATTTAAATGCTCTTCTCACACATAAAATTGAGACAAGATGTAATAAAATCAAACATTTTACTGTAATACATTATATTTAACTATGCTAATACTGTTCTGCTTTTCTGATACTGAGGACAAGTATGTGGTAGTTCTTCCTTGATTTTCAGATTTAAGGAACCCTTGTAGACCTAGAAAGTCATGGTTAGCCCCACTCACAAATTCAAAAGCAGAAGCAAGTTCCTGGTATTTATGCAGCAGTAGAACCATTACGGTTAGCTTGTAATTGCAATCAATAATCAGTCAGAAAGAAAAAGTTAAATTTTTTGGTTGTGATAACTAGGCAAAATTAAGCATCCTAGGTGATCCCTCTCTTTCTCAATCTGGAGTCAAGCATTCATTACACATTCCTCCCTCGTTCTCCACAACTAGTTACCAATAGGTCCTTCCCTCCTTCTCAAGCGGTCTGGGCACTCACCCTTCTGCCACTACACACACCTCTTACAGGTCAGAAGCTGGGACCCATGTGTATCCCGAAAGGGAGTTATAAGGCATAACTAGCTGGAGGGCAAGCTGCAGTGACAGCAGTACTCAGTATTTTCAATTTTCCTGCTCTCTGCAACACTTTCTTGGCTTTGGTCCTTTTCAACTCCGAACCCTGCACCAACCCCAAGCAGCTTTCTGACTTTGAGCTATGTGAAAAGGGAAGTCTAGCCTCATACAGGCACAAAGAACAATATTAACTATTTTTGTAACAGCGAATTTTAAACTAGCTATCATTTACTAAATTAACAGTTATATTTGTTGGCAACAATTGATATATAGTATGAAGAGACGGGATTAGACAATACTAAGAAAAGGCCCTCATAGAACGAGTGATCATCAGTCCCTTCAAGAAGATCTTAGATGTATCAACCTGCATCCTCCTGCCAAACCAGGAAAAATCCTCTCCTTCCAAAACTTACTTCCCCATGCGAAGTAAAGGCCTAAATAATTCTCTCTCCATAGTAATACCACAACTATTTCAGAGTCTCGGTCTTATAAGAGTTCAGCTTGCCTCTCTGGTAGCCTGACATGAACCCTACATTATAGCAGATACTCGATAGAAAGCCCTACTACTCCTCTTCCTGTGTTTAAATGTGCATAAGCAGTGAAGAACATTCAGTAAGAATAGCCTTCAGTTTTTCCCCACTCCTCCTCTGAACACATCTTTCAGCTAACAACACAAATTTTTGACCTCCCTTGCAGATTAGCTACCTAACCTGTAGGTTAAACTGTGAATGAGTAGAACTTTAAGCAAGAATATAACCAACTTCCAAAATTTCACTTGAATTTGCTGATCATAAAGTCTACTGAGATCGTTAACAAATCATGAGCTTTGCAGGATCATTCTCAAACTCTTCTACTCACAAGTCAAACTCTTCCTGCATTTGTCTACAAAAAAGAGAGTCACTCTTTCCAGATGTGTCAAGCATCCTAACACTTCACTGTTCTTACGACCTTTCACTTTCAAGGTTAACCTAAGAGAGTTCATCACTTTTAGTTCTTGACTACCTAATACTGAAAATAATTATTCGCAATTTGACAAAGTGCAGTCCTAGCCCATCCTCTTGTCAACTTCCTGCACTCTTTAAGGTTTGGGGTTTTTAAAAAACAAAAAAGGTAAGAGATGTTTCCCCATCCTCTCCATACTAAATAACTTATTATTTATTAGGTAAAACATTTATAAACAGCATTGTACCAGTGAAGCTGATCGACGTCTATTAATAGACTCAAGCCTCAAGCATATTGCTTATTGTCATACTTTCTGAAAGCTGATTAATTCCCTTCATGAAAGCACAAAATAAATAAGAAACTGCTGTAGTGAAGTACATAAGTTTACTTGACAGTATTTTTCCAACTCCAGTCTTTTCTTTTTTTTTTCTTTTAATAAGCAAACACGATTTTAAGCACAAAGACTATTCACATCTCACCAACATATAAGACTAGTTTTGTTCAGTACAAAGTCACAGTCAGTAAGGGTTGTAGCAATGTTTTCTGTGTCTGTCTCACTCTGCCTCTGGTTAAATTAAAGGCTAAAGTTCAAGCACTGCCAGTGCTTTGGAAAACCTGAAAACAATTAGTCAATTGTAGGTTGCACTTACAGGTGCTGCAGATGGGAGAGTTTAAACATCTTTTGAGGGATTGCTGAAATTTTGTTCCTGTTCAGTTTCAATATTTGAAGTGTGGTAGACAAATTGTCAAAGGTACCAGGCTCCATGGAGGTTATTCGGTTACTGTTAATGTACCTGTTGAAACAATGTCTAGAAGGTTAAATTTACAGTTATTTAATAAATTCTCAATACCAAGTAGTTAAACACAAAGCTCTTGCGCTGTCTACTTCTTGATAAATGAAATTTCATTTATCATATTAATTAGAGCTCTTGACAGCTCAGTCTATGGTCAAAGAGCATTTCACCACCAACATTTTGCTCTACTCTGCTGGAGCGTATTATTGGCAGAAGATACTATGTTGGAACCCCACTACTTTACTTTATTTGCACTCAGTATAGCTCTGGCATTGCAGTATCATCGAACAAGGACGAAGGTAGATTCAAAAACATCCACCAAGCTTCGTGTAACTCAAGACAAGCCCAACCATGGGGAATTTAAGAGAAATAATTATGTAACAAAATGGACTTAAGAGACACATCTATTTGCTTCATCTCAAGATAATGACCTTCACTTTTTATGAACTAAAACATCTCATTGCAACAACTCATTTATTCAAGTTAGCAGCTTTCGTAAAACTCAACAGGTGAAAGTAGCAATAAATATTTAATGCATGTCTAACTGAAAGAAGATTTAGTACCTTAACAAACAGCTGCCAATCTAAGTTTTCCAACAAGTTTTTTGAAAGTAATCTGAAAGAAAAAAGTAATACTAAGTTTGACTTACAGGTATTTGAGCTGTAACGATGGAAATGATGATATTTTTAGCTCTGATATGTTGTTGTTGCTCAGGTCCAAAGTTTCTAGACTCTGAAACGGCTTCAGATGTTGAGACAAGATGTTGGCAATCTTGTTACTGGTCCTGCAATTTAAGGATAGTAGTCAAAAGATTGTCATTTCCAGAGTAAACACTTGTTAACTACATGACTCTGACAAAAGTTAGTTCTTAATTTCACCACTTGAAAATAATTTCTAGTTAAAGAAAAACAATAAAGTATGTTCTTTAGACACAAAACTCATTTCTAGCCATCCCAAACTGGAATGCTTTAAATAAATGTGTTCATTAACATTTCTTAAAACATATTCCCAGCAAACAAGATAAAAAAATTGCATCATAATCCAATTACTGCAATTCATGGCTTTTAAAATGAGATCTATGATCATCTATTTCTGAACGGTAGAAATATCTAATATTTGCATTGAACACTATGTCACAGTCTTGTAATGAAACCAGATTAGAGACGTTTTCTATTTCAACCAAATTAACATCATAGTAGCTAAACATTGTGTTTTGGTTTTTTGAGAACTCCTGCAGCATGGAAATCAGACTGAATTTCCATAAAAACAGAGCTAGATTAGAGGAGATGGATGACAGTGTGCTCCCTCTGAAAGACATTCTATATTTTTTCAATTAGATCTGGTATTTCATCTATAGATTTTTCTAGTGAGTTTACAAATAACAAAATTTGTGTTTATTACAGCTCATTACAGTTTCTGGACTTCACATCTGGTCAAACTTCAGCTAAGCATCATAGCCAGTTCCACAACAAGAATTCAGCAACATAATGAACGTAACCCAAAATGATCCTTGTTACCTTGGGAAGTTCAAGTCATCCTGTACCTAGTATGATGAATGATCAAAATTTAGAAGCTCTTCCCAGCTCCTAGAGGTTACAGGCAAAGGTAATTTCAGTAAAACTACCAACAAGTATGTGGATTCCAGAAAGTATTTGCCTTTATTGGAAATACTTGCTCCGGATCAAATAGTAAGCCACACATTCAGGAAAGCATGGACAACTCTCACATATTAGAGGAGCGTGGGGGGTTTACTGCCCAAGACAAAAAAGTCCTGACTCAAAAACTGAACCAGAAGTCAGATTAATGGGCCTTCTGACCACATGTGGGAATGCGTAAGTGATCTTGCAGCCCCTCCAATGCTGCGCTCGTATCATGTTTCATTCCTCAGGCTGTCTGGTAGAGGTACACTGCATTTTTTTAACTCTTAGCTGAAAGTATTTATAATAAATGGAAACAAATTACTTTAATAAAAAACAACAACAACCACCACCGCCATGTGTCAGTTCCACTGGCCAAATAACACTGCAAGTTAGATAACAGGTCACAGAGCCTTGCCTTTATGCATTAGTTTGTTTATAAGGTAATTACTAACAAGGTATTAAAACTGCCAATTACTTGAGTGACGAATAAAATTTTCCTTGCAGTAAAAGTGTGCTCCAGCAGAAGCCAGCAATTTCCTGGACTGCACGCCTCCTAAATTGCAGTGTGAAAGTGTTCAGTTATAGAGACGGCTTGCACAGTGCTGTCTTTGTGTCAGCACTGCTCCTTAAAACAGAAATTCCTCACAACTGGCAGGATAATAGCTCCTGTATTACAAAGTTTAGTTGGACCTAATGGAACCTAATAAAACTCTTACACAGCCTTCAGATTAGCACTTAAACTAACTGGCAAATTACCTGACACAGACCAAGTACCAACAAAAACAAATAAACAAAAAACCCAGCTTGTTTGTTTCAGGGAATGTTTTCCTTTTTAGAGATGGTAAGGTCATACTGTGAGGAGAAAGTAACTTCTTTTGTTCACTGAAACAGAGCTATACATCAAAGTCCTAGTCTGTTTCACAATGAAAATCAAATCAGTCCTCACTGCACCTTCCTGCTTACTCATATCTGTAGAAGCGACTCAAATGCAAAAATATCTGAGTGGTTCACTCCTTATTGCCCCAACCTCCTCCTCCAGCCTTCTCTTAAAAAAAAAAGAAAATATAAGTGCCATAATTCATACCTGGAAGTAGATTATCCAGCACTGAGCATGTCTAAATAGTTCTACTTTTAAGGCCCAACTTTAGTTAAAATGAGGAAGTTCAATTCTAATTTGATTCTTCTTCACAATTATCACTTAAGTACATCAAATTAAAAAAAAAAATGTTATCAGCTTCCTCAAAACTGCCAAATCACCATCAAAATTAGTCAAGAAGGACATGTTTGACTATCTAATTGTCACAGCAGAACCAAGCAGCATCCTCTGTGTCAGTACAATGACATACAAATTTGTTCACTGCGGGAGAACCTACAAACAAAGAAAAAAAAAACTTTCCAGTGAAGTGCTATTATTACTGTGCTCAGACAAAAGGAGCTGCACACGCCGCACTGGTTTCATTCCACAGCCCCTCAAGGGGAGGTCAGAGCAACAGAGATCCCCTGCAACACGAGAACCAGCACATGGAGTTCTCACAGCAGCAGACCTGCAGCAACCTGATCACAATTTCTTCATGTGCAAGGAACAGCAACATGCTGCAGCTTCCTTGCGACTTCTGTACGGCTAAAGCAACAGGAGCACTGAGGAACACAGATAAAACCACCAAAAATACCTGCGTGGATCTGAATATGCCTTTTGTAGTTTGACAGTCTACACCCTGACCTGCAGCAAGTAAATCCCCAATAACCCAAGAGTGCCTGCAGACTGACCTAATTATTTTTACATAAGCCTGTGTGAATACCAGCACAGAATACCAGTTTTTCATCACAGGTATGAGAAACCTTAGCCTTCCCTCTCAGCATTCATGCCTTTGACCACACCACTAGGCGAAAATATCCATAACAGCCCTATCAATCATGATCTCAAGATTCTTTCTATATAAACAACAGCTACAACACATCTGACATATTGGCTTCTACTTTCCTTGCCTCTGGGAAAACAAAGCAGGACAGTAACTTCCAAATCCATTTTGTTAAGGATCTAGTTAACACCATTTAGACATAATTGTTCTTATGTGCTGAAAAAAAACAATTTTTAAAGATCTGAGATAGTATGATTAAGTATCTCTTGATAAAGACTGCCAATGTGCAACATTGTCTATCTAAGAGAAGTATCTATGCAAGCTTGATTACTCTGATCCTACAACATGGAAGCATCAACAATTAAGACCTAAAGTCCTATCTTTTGTTTCTATCCAAAATCTCAGCACAAAAAAAACACTCTTGCCCTTCCTTCTCCAGCATCTCTTCTAGGCAGACCTTGATCTGCTGAGTTTTGAGAACCTCTTGGTCTTACCTTACACCATGATCCTGACAAAGAGAATGCGTAAGAAGGTTAAGGAACCTGGTAAAAACCAAGTTGTCTAGACAGACAGTTTTGGAGAGCTGTGTCTGTGCAGCCTGTTCTCCAAAGCTGTTAGATCTAAAATAATTATTTTAACATCTGTGTGATTCTGGACTAAGATGGTATCTCCTGTCCCTCAACTAAGCCCTAAGAGGCAGGATATATTTAATTTGCCTCACAAACAGGCAAATGAAAGCACAGTAGAGTCTGTTGCTAGAGACTAAGGATATGTAAAGAGAAAAAAGCACTAAACAGATCTTTCTGAGCAGTGCTGAAGCCAAGACACTGGGGTTCATAGATGTTTAGTTTGACCATCTTGTGTTTACGTGGCTTCCAGACTACAGCTGGCTTGGAGGCAGCCATGTCGGCGCACAGGCAAAGCAGACATGACTGTCCACATCTGAGCTTGTACCAGGGTGGTCTCTGTTACATGCCACTACAGCTCACAGCTTCATTTTTAACATTTTCTCAAATCTTTGTGATTGTTTCACCTGTTCTTCCCTCCACTCACTCACTGATGTCATATGACTCCTGGCATATCACCTACTGTTTCTTGCATTCCCCCTCCTGCCCTCCCAAACTCTTTTGGGCTTTTGGAGTTCTTGTAAGAAGCAATGATGTCAAGACATTGACTGGAAGAAAATTTAAGCAAAAAGAAAAAAAATAATTGATAGTAAGGATGAAATACTAAGACTGCAATAAAATCCATCAGAAAGTGCTGGAAGACACATGCTTTGTAGCTTTTAGGATAAGCCTGGACAACTTTAAGGAGCACATGCCAGAAGAAAGAGCCTCAGTAACTCCTACAAGAAGAAGGAGACAAAGGAGGTTTCTTTTTTCTTCAATTTCTACTCGTTCAACTACTAAAATTAGCCAGATTGTAATGAATGAATATCATTTAATGTAATGAATAAACATTCTTTAAAATATTGTAATTATGGTTTCAAGCTGAATACTACCCTTACAAAAAAATCCCCTGACATGAATGGGACTACATGCTCTTCCCACCATTAGACACCTAACTGCACAAAATTAAGAACCTCCATTTTTTTGATTCTTTGCAACTGTTAAGATAGAGAAATATTTCAAGTGAAACTGTTTTTCTCCAAGACAAAGATGCCAGAAATAGAGTGAGGATTCTGGCTCACTTCCAGTCCTACTGGTAGGTCTACAAGTTCGCTGCCTTCTTCACACACAGGCTTCTCACATTCCTCACAGCAAGCAGTTGTTCTTTCTATTGAAGATCTCCTTCATTTCAGGATCCATGCCTGTCATTGTTCTTTCAAGCCAGATGTCAGCAAGTCTCTGCTCTTATTTTTTGTGCTTTTTGTGGTATACAGACATAAAACAGGAAATGAAAACTCAGAACTCCGTAGGCTACTGATACTCTCTCCAAAACTTGAAACCAAACATTTATTGATTCCCCAACCAAACATAAATTGGGAAAATGGGAAAAGAAAGATGCAAAATGAAACAACTGATGATCAAATGATCAACTCTGATCAGAGAAGTTTTCATCATCAAAAAGAAAAGAGGCAAATCCAAAATTACAAACACATGACACTTTCGTAACAATTCTCTCATGATTCCAGTCACAGTACCAGAATATAATTAAACTTTCCTTCCAAACTCTCTTCTTAATACCCTGAAGTCTCCTTCCCATTCCACTTTCTGGTCTTTCTAAAACAATCACAAGTTACTTAGCATATGATAGCCAAGTGAATGTGTAAGTTCATCACTTTA